TATATATATACATATATATATATATATATATATATGTATATATATATATATGTATATATATATATATATATATATATATAAAACCGCCACCTGAATTAGTCCCAGGGAATGGGATTCAGAGATTTTCTCTCAATGTAATATTTTCTCTCAATGTAATATTTCCCTAACTTTCCAGCTTTTGCCCCACATAACACTGGATGGGACTTGTGACTATCAGTCAGTTTCTTCTGATTCATATGAACACCATGACCGCATTTCCATCGATATAATGATTTTCTGCACATTGTTTTTAATCGCTTCTGACATTCACAACGCAAGTGTGTACACTATATAGATGCAAAGGTCGGTGCAAGTCAAACCCGAAATCCCCGCCAGATTTTATTTGAAATGCGCCTTTAATAAGTGATGCCTGTTTAAACTTGTAACGCCAAAATCAGCTACAAGATGGCGCCAGAGTCACATGAATGAAAAGCAGATTCTCTGATAACCGAACGCTTCCATTTCCATCAGACAACCAACACGCTCATTCCGTTGCTTTTGCAAACCGTACTGCCTTTTGTGATGCACTTTTTTCTTTTTTGGTGTTAGCTGTGCAGCTATACTTTTTTTTCTTTTCTTTTCTTTCAAGTTGAAAGCGAATGCTCGAGATTTATTGTGCGGACATAAAGGCCACTGAGAGAGAAATATGACCTCCAGGATCACAGAGTCCTCTCAGACATCACTTGTCTGACTGACCTCATTGTCGAGAAGCTTGTGTCGGTCGGCTTATTGACGATTCGGCTGCGGTCCGAGATTGGCTGTTACAATGAGCGGAGCCCGTACTGTGTGACATCATTGCGTCTGGCGCTGTGGAGATCTACAGCACCTCCTCTTTTTTCTTTTTTTCCTCCCTCCTCACATCCATTTGGAGCCGCCCGTACGAGCAGTTCATCACAGAGCGCACCCAAAGCAGGAGGCGGACCCAGATAGTAAAAGGCGAACCGGAGCTCGGGAGCAGCATTGTGCGGGACGGCCAGCAAAGAGGATCTATCCATCCGCTGCGTGCTTTCGGGGGCTTATTTTAAATACCCGTCGTGCACTTTTTTGGGGGATCGAGCGTTGCGGCTCTCTCTCTTGCCTCTGTCCCAGATACCCATCTGCGCGTCTGCGTCCGAGCACTCCCCGCATCCCCCCTTTGCCTTTTGAAGATGTCCACGAAGAGCCGAGCCGAGCCGGAGACCCGGTCGGACCGCCGAGATGCTCTGGGCACCGCGACTCGCCTCCCCGGTTTCTCCACGGAGTCCGTAGAATGAAGGAGGATTAACATCGAGTCCGAGTCGTCCGGAGCGCCAAGAAGATGACGGTGCCGCTGTTGAAGATCGGGGTCGTGCTGAGCACCATGGCGATGATCACCAACTGGATGTCGCAGACCCTCCCCTCTCTGGTGGGGCTCAATACTACCAAGCTGACGGCGGCGCAGGGAGGGTACCCAGACCGGAGCACGGGAGTAAGTTTCATTCAGTCCCCCCTTTGCCCCCATCAGTGATCGGGCAGATTTAATTACTAAAGGGAATGTTAATTATAGGAAAGCGCTGTTGGTTCATTCATAATTTAAAGCTGAGCTCGTGCCGTGCGCCCCGGACTAGTAAAGGATTTTGGAGAGACATCATAGATTCCTCCTCTGGTGTTTGATGTTGCGCTGCTGCTGCACCGAAATGGAAAGTTGGTCTTTTCCTTTTTTTTTTCCTCTCAGATTTGATTCTAAAAATATATGGAAATTTAAATGCTTCAAAAAAAAAAAAAAAAAAAAAAAAGAAAAAAAGAGCGTGCTTTCCTAGATCCCCTCTGAAACAGCAGGAGTCTTCATCTTTCCTCTCCACAGTGGGTGAATGGAAGAAGGAGGCGCTCAATGCCACTGATGAAGCAAAATCAAGTATTTGTCATGCTGGTCTTGTCAAATATTTAGATTTTAAGCAGTGGATACAGTAAGTGGCCTAATGGAATCAATCCCATTAACAGGGGCGCCTGCAGGAAGTTTTTTTTTTTTTTTTTTTTTTTTAAAGGGGGTGGCCAAATAGGTGCCATTAATAATCCAGGGGGTTGTATGCAATTTTTTTAGGAGAGTTACTTGCCTACTGTTATGTGCGGGTTAGTGCAGCAAAGGACGACAATTCAAAGGGGTGTGCAACAAAACAGTTAATGAAATGAATGCGTGATTTAATGTGGCTTCTCCTCTACATCTTAAGACTGCCTGGACCAGCAGATTTCTAGAAGTGGTCACTGCTTTTCTCCACCACTGTACTCCTTCACATAGTGCCTCTGCATGGAATGAGTTTCAGATAGACTCTGAAAATAGATCAAAAGTAAGAATTCCCATTATTTTCCATTCGGAAGCATCAATCAGCAGCGCAACAGCCTTTTGAGTTTAACACAAATTAGGCTCTGATGCTATTATTAACTCCACCAAGGAAGCAGAAAACCTTTTCTTTTCTTAGGGGTTATAGTCCTTAGGGGGAAAAGTTATAAAAAGCCTTATGTGTGAATCTTTAGTTTTTTTTTTCTTTAGTTTTTTTTTTTTTTTCTTATGCAACTCAGTTGTAGCCTCATTCCCCTTTTGCTTTGTCTCCGCCTCCCTGGCTGGATTAAAAGGCAGCTGACACACAGTAGTGAATGTGTTTTTTAAAAAAGCCACTCCTATTCTCTGATCCCAACAGCAGGACGGTAAATGGATTAGTCACGTCTCGTGTGATGGATTATAACAAGAAAAAAGTGACGTCATAGTTCTGGAATCGTAGAGCTGTGACCCATATATAGACTGAAGGCAGAGCAAAAAAATGTACTGCACATTCTTTGGTGAGACGTAGTAGTTTAGATTCAAAACTACAAAATCGCAAGATCAACATTTTTGTCGTTTTAAGGAACTAAACTCAACAACGGTGCATCAAATCAGATGCTGTTGGTTGTTGGGTTTATACACTAAAGTTCTTTGGTTTTGAAGGATGTGCTAAACAGGACAATAGTGTTTGAACTGCTGATCATCGATTGGAGATGGTCATGAAATATTAGCTGCATTCTGATTTCTGGTTATTGATTGGTACCTCCATTAAAAAAAAAAAAAAACATCCACAAAAAACATTCCTGATCATCGTACCTACAATCACAGTGTGGATGAAATGTGAACATGACACACGGAGCAAATACAAATAAATCTTCCTTTATATGGATACAGCTAGTGCTCTCGGGGCCACCAGGGCCTCAGGGTGCCCTTAGTTGTCAAGGAGTTGCTTCCTACCTCAGGTCGACTCGTAAATAATGAGTGTAACCGTGGCATTCGGTTACATTACAACACAGGGGAGAAATCATTTATTTTCATTTTGTACACGCCGAAATGATACGATCAAAGTGAAACCAAACAGCATTTCTCTTGTTTAGAGGAGGTTCTTCCCCTCTTTAAAGTCCAAACAGCTCTTTGAGGAGTAGGAGAGGGGCGCAGCAACTGAAAACATTTCTTGAACCCCAGCAGCAGGAGGATTTGCCTGAGCGACCTTTCATAACTTCTAGGTCAGCAATGCCTTTGGACAAGCCTGCGTTTAGTTTCCACGGTAACCAAGCTGACTTACCGGCAGATCGGTTTTAATGGTATGGTATCCTGATGCATCTTCAGAACGTGCAGTATTTGATGGCGAACAGGCGGTGCTTAATCATGGGCACGGCCCGGAAGTTGATGGATATTTCACAAAGCAACAAAGCTAACTGTTGTTTATTATGTTTTTTAAAAAGCTACGTTTTTCAAGCCATTTGACAACACTTTCTGACTTTTCTTTTTTTCTTCTTTTGCGTGAAGGTGTTGCCAGCAAACCCAGAGGAGTCGTGGCAGGTGTATAGTTCCGCCCAGGATAGTGAAGGGAGGTGTGTCTGCACCGTGGTGGCGCCCCAGCAGTCCATGTGCTCGCGGGATGCTCGCACCAAACAACTGAGGCAGCTGCTGGAGAAGGTAATTGCTTGGCTAAATACCCAGCAACGGCAATCTGCGTCTCACAATGCCCAGGGTAGCCATTTTTACCTTGTTTCACGCTCACAAAGAGATGGTCCCCTAGTCACCTCCCTGAATGTGGGACAAGAATAGAAATCAAGTGTCTAATGAGCTCCCTGGAAACCCAAGTCGTCATGGGAGGCAGTTGAACGCTGCGCTTATGTTGCGCTGCATGCACCCAGAGCAACATGTCTAATGATGCAATGCAGCTCAACGCCCAGCCTGGGAGCTACAACGCAAACATCGGTAAACAAGCTAATCCAAAGTAATGCAGATTAGTCGATTTAGCCGACATCAACAGGCTCCTCTTAGTTTGGGGAGTGCATCAAGTAGAACATTTCTGGAGACGACAAATGTCTGAACAGTATGTATTCTTCGCTTGTGAGGCCCCTGACTAGCTGCCTGATGTCAGAGTTTGTGAATCATCACGAAATGCGTGCCAAGCCAAAACAACATATTGGAAACCTGTTGCTTTTTCTCTACACCAGACTACTCAAAGCGAACCTTTGAGGTAGAAGGGAAAAAAAGAGAGAGATGTTTTAGATATTCAGCCTGCATTTATGTTTACCGGATCCCCAGGTCCAGAACATGACCCAGTCCATCCAGGTGCTGGACCAGCGCACCCAGAGGGACCTTCAGTACGTGGAGAAGATGGAGGTCCAGCTCCGTGGCCTGGAGACGAAGTTCAAGGAGGTGGAGGAGAACCACAAGCAGAACATTGCTAAGCAATACAAGGTAAGAGGCCCCTTCTGCAGCCACCCATCCCACCACCATACCCTCAGAGACTGCTGTGTCACTCAGAGTTAGCAGCCTAACCCATTCTGTGTCGTCTGTCAGCAGGAAGGGTATAGAATCACTGCAATCATTATATTACATATAGTGTATATTCCACAGTTTGTAAGTGCTCGTCTCTTTTACATAGATAAAAAGAAATGCTAAAAACAAGTGTCACCATCAAGATTTTTGATAAATCACTGTAACCATCCACCTTAAACTACTATTGTTTCATCACAAAATTAGCTTAACAAACACACATACTGTATGCATAATTATACTAGATACAGGAACTATAATTGTTCTCTTTTAAAGCCAGAATCTGTACTTTTGTCTCCTCCTAAACCTGGTGCTCCAGATCACATCTGAGATGCTGTGACATTCTGGTAGATTTGCATTAGTGCTCCTTACATTGCTGCCTTTTTGCTTCACTTCAATGCAGCTCAAGTCGAAACCTTTAAGTTATTGAGCTCTCCCCGTCAATGGGCCTGAAACCAAACAGCGCTGCAGCCATGTTTGGCTTCGCGGCTAAATTCATGACATTAAAATCAATAGATGCTCATCGAAATGCATTTGGTCAAACACACCAAGGTAAGCTGTTGGAGATAAACACCTCTCAAATCAGCTGCCTCCAAAGAAATGCTGTAAAAAGGGAAGCTGTGGAAGAAATCCCATTTAACACAGCTAATTTGACAGAGCAAGATTTAACTTCATTTTAATCGCAAAGGGTTGAAAGCACTTTTATTGAACGTGTTTCAATAAAATTTGCTAAATCATATCAACAAAATGAGCTGCCGCTTAGTCTGTTAAAAATGTAAGTTTTTGCAAATGGAATAATATATTGTTTAATTTGAATGTATCATATTAATTAGTGCTAATGTGACCCAGATATTTCTGTTGTTCTTCATATAAACTGGAACAAATTAATTTTGGCATTGAATGTAATAATATTGTCTTGAAGTTTCATGTTAAACCGCTTATAAAACATATTGTCTTTACCCTTGCTAAAATACTGATATTAAACCTTAATGTATAAGTAAATTTATAGTAAGTGTGTAACAACACATTCAGCTCAAACGACAATTCTATATGATACACATTAGTGGTTTCACAGGAATGGACAAGATTAGAGTTGTCCATTTCTGGGTAATTTCACTATTTACTATTCGAGGAAAGTAAATTTACCCTTTTTGTTGCTTTTCCCACTCTGTGTTGTAAAGAGTGTGCAATTGTTACAGAATAACCCAGTCTAGATTTGACTATAGTCTAATTTAAGTGCTCTTAATTTCTTGTAGGCTGTAGTCATGAATGTACCTCAAACCGCCACATATCCAAGCTTGCATATTGCCTATTGATGCATACTTAACACATACCAACGGTCATACTGAAAACACTGGTAAATTGTGTCTAATTTAGCTAAAGTGTATCTTAAATTTTTATATTGATATCTATTTTTTAATTTATTGATGTTAATAATGAGGGCTTAATGCCACAAAAGTACTGAAAATGATTCTTTTCTTGTCCCGTATAAGTCTTTAGCTTTAGTTTCCTTTGCGGCTAAAAGTTAATCAGTTTTACAGTGTTTCTTGTTTACATTAGCATCTTCAAAAGCCACTATAACATTAGCTTCTTCAAGGCTAATGTAGCAGATTTTTGTAAGCCAACCATATGAGCAATATTGTATTGGAAAAGACTCCTTTAACACAACAGAATAACTACAAAAAATACTTAATTTCCCTTTTTCAAAATAAGAACCTCAGACTACTGGGTTTCAAGCTGAAGCAGTTAAATTTTATTTTAGCACCGACTAGCATTAAGTCTCTTGCTAGCTTTGCTTTAGCAGACAAACTCTGTCCAGGCAAAAACAAACATTCAGTTGTCAGTTTGAGATTTTGTTTCACCCCTTACTGGTTTGTCAATAAAAACAGACAAGGGATTTAGCTATGTGCACATCTATACCACATAAATACAGTTTTTCTGCATCTTTAGCTTTAGCATTGAATCTAAAGTAGCTCCTGTTTTCATACCATCTGTCTTGCACTTCTCCAAGTGTCTCATCCCCACCATTTATGCATGCATAGCACACAGCCTCACGCAGCCATGTTCGGTGCATGCGCGCAATTTACTGTGACATTGTTTAAGTGCATTTTACTAAATATGTGTGTGCCTTTGTGTGTCTCTTGAGTCAGGTTAGAAAGCTCTAGCCCCTGTCAACAGTCTGTCATTTTCTTGCTTGCAGGGCTAACTTTAAGACATGTAAAGAGAGCCACAGGGAAGAAGAGGCAGGTCAATTCCAGATTCCCCCCCTGAACTGCGCCACAGTACTGAGAGTGTTTGGGCATCAAACAGTTAATTTACCCTTAGCATCATTAAGATTATGAGACCCCCCCAACCCCCCTCATCCTTCTCCCGAACCAACCCACTACTGATCTATTCCTGCATGTTACTGCTGTCAACGTTTTCCATCTTAAAAGCTTTTTGCTGGCGTAAATACATTTATTATTATTATTATTATTATTATTATTATTATTAATTATTATTATTACTAATTGGTGTTAGTCACTTTTCTTTTGGCTTTTGTCTATGCATATTTGGTTAATCAGCACCTCTTTACGTAAAACTCTAGACGTAAAAATTCGAGACACTTTGTTGTGTGTGACATGTAAAGCATGTAACCCTTAATACGATGTTGCATTTTGAACGTTGATGACCAATAAAGAGCTTTCCCAATTGTTGTCCGTGTACCGAGGGCTTGCTTTTTTTTTTTAAATAAAAAAAACCCGGCTCCTCGCCGTCCAGAGAAAGGGGCCCCGACCCCGCCTGCTCCGCTCCGTCCAAGCGGGTGGAGAGTATTCTTTGGGTTTGTTCGCTCAGAGACACACCTGCACAGACAAACTAAAAGTAAAACAAACAAACAAAAACACAAGTACACTTGACGCACAAAAACACCGAACACGATAAGTGAAGAAGCAGGGCAGAGTTAGAGTAGTCAGGCTCAGACAGGTGTTTTTTTTTTTTTTCCCCTTCTTCTTTTCTTGAAAACCAGTCTCTCTTTTTTTATTTCTTTGGTCGCGCTTGACACTCAACCGAGCTTATTCTAATCCTTTCAGGCCATAAAGGCGAAAATGGAGGCGCTTAGGCCGTTGATACCAGTGTTGGAGGAGTACAAAGCCGATGCCAAATTGGTATTGCAGTTTAAGGAGGAGGTCCGAAATCTGACGTCAGTTCTAAGCGAGCTACAAGAAGAGATGGGGGCCTATGACTACGAGGAGCTCCACAACAGAGTGTCAAATCTTGAGGAGAGACTGCGAGCATGCATGCAAAAATTAGGTAGGCACAGAAAGTTCTTGACACACACTTTGCTTCAAGCACATACATGCGCACACACACACACACGCACACACTGGCTAAAGATGCCATAATTAGCCCAGGAATTTACTTTCAGGCATACGTACATGATGATGCAGAAAGCAAGGGAAGATTCCTTGCAACCGCCCAGCCCTCAAAATACACTTGCCTTATGTGCAAAATTGCTCAAAACTTTTAAATCACCGCTTTAAAGCGGCCACACTTAGTATTTTGAAAGTATTTCAAGATGAATAATTCTCCAGGATTTTTTTTAAAGTCCTCCAAAAGGTTTTTTTTTTTTTTTTTTTTTTCTGGATTTTGGCTGCTTTTTTCCCCCTTTTGCTGTTTTTTGTGTTGAGTCATTGCTCCTGACCAAAGCCACACAATGTGACACATGTTCTGCATAAATGTGAAACTAGAGAAGTGCAGGGCGGAAGTAGAAGTGCAGCATACCACCGGTACCTAAAAGACCCAAAACAGAAAGAATTCAATGTTAAAGTCTGAATTGCTTTGGGAATCACCTTGTTGGTGCTACAAATCCTCATTGCTAACTTTAGCACCTTTGGAATTTCATAAATCTGAAGTGAAAAATGGTATCTTAAGTAACAAAGTACAACAAATACAAAGTACCAAAGACCAAAACAATGGTTTTGACGGTATTGTAGCTAACACCTGAAGTGTCTTTGACTGTCAAGCACAATGGAGGATTTGTGGGAGTGGCAGAGTGCACTTTCTCAGAAACTTGTTGAACTATTCGAATATTTTTCATACAAATTTGGTGTAAGTAGATCATCACTAGCTGACTCTCTAGGATAACGGCAGGAAAACATTGGCAAATCAACACAGAAATGACTGAGCAGGCACAAAATCAACCTTTTATGGCCGTCTTGGTCCCAAGACTTAAATTCTTCAGAAAAAAGTCTGGAGTGAGGTAAAGACGAGAGAGCATGTGAGAGGACCCTGAACTCTGCAAGGTAGAAAGACTGTGCAAAAAGGAATAGTCAAATATTTCTCTCCCTCTTTGGTCCTAGCTTGTTACATATTATACTAGACTGGATGTTGCCTTATTTACAAATCAGGGTTGAGGTATGGCTGCATACAATTTTGTCATGGTAATTTTATTAAAATCAATTGGATTTTTCCAAACTGTTTAATTGTATTTGGGTTAAAGGCTGTATTTTTCTAAACCTTACATTGGGTGATTATGCTGCAAAAATAAAAATAACTGATTTTAAGGGGTTTTCAAACTTTTTTTTTTTTTCCCGGCAAATGCGTATCACCTTCCCAATTTACATTATTAGAAATATTATGTGGCATCCTGCTACTAGGAGAAGCCCTCATTTCAGCCTACCTAATGTGTATTCCTCAATATGTGAAACCTGATTAGCTTCATTGCAGGAACCCCATCAGAACGGTATGATGGAAGCGCTTGCTGCCTCAAAGTGGCACGCGAAAATATGCCCACAAAGTCAGCTGCGCTGCTCACGTGGATCCAGTCCTATCTTTGCTTTTTAGCCCCTTCCTCAGTGTCTTCACACCTCGTGTGACAGAGCACGGTGCTAATAGATGCACACCCACGTGGTGACTAAGATATATTACAAGAGCAGAGGCACTTAGCACATCGCGGGTATATTGTGTCCCTGTTTTGAATAATTCACAGTGCAAGATGGCAGAGGGGAATTTAGAAAGTGCTCAAGCCACAATGCCCTCTGTCAGCCCATTTCAGCCCGCTAACTGATTCTTCTGTCGTCGTACGTTTTTACGGCGAATCTTTAACGCTTCGTGTCATCAGACAGATTTTAATATCAGGCGAGAATGACACAAGCAGATGCAAAATGTAGTTTTCAAATGATGATGTGAAAAACCTCATGGTTTATTCGTGATCCAACTAAGATTAGTCACACATTTAGCTGAAATTCATTAGCAACACTTTGGCCAGATTTATTTCAGACTTGAGGAGTCAATAAATTTATTAAATAGAACATTAATGATACAAACAAAGTTCAAAAACAGACTTTGGCACCAACTAGTCCAGTAAGGATTACAAAGTCATAATTCAGGCTTTGGAACCACAGTGAGAATCATTATCCACAAATGGGGAAAAAAAAAAAAAGAAACCTTTGAAGAGCGGGGAACCTGCCCAGGACTGTCTGACCTGCCGATGTTGGTCCAAGAGTGCCTCGACGACTCATCCAGAAGGTCACAAGAGGATCCAGAACAAAATCTAAACACTGTAGACCTCATTTACCTCAGTTAAGGTCTGTGTTGTTGATTCAACTATAAGAAAGGAGAAAAAATGATAACCTTTCTGAATGCTTCAAAGGCTGTCTAATGCTGACTAAACACAAAGAGTATCTCAATAAGACCTTTGGCAAAATACTATTGACTGTCTATTACATCTGATGTAAAAGTAACAGCATTTTTTAAAAAGAACATCATACCTTCAGTCAAACCTGGTGGCGACTGTGATGCTTTTTTAAAGATTTGTAATAGATCCATGAATTCTGCTTGTCAGCAGAAATCCCTGGAGCAGAATAGCTCACCATCAGTTTAATTGTTTTTTTTTTTTTGGTTAAAGTTCACAAATATTACAAATCAGGTCAATCAGCCAACAGAAAGTCCACCTCTGAGTGGCTCAAAAAATGGCCTAGTCAAAGTCTGAACTTCACTATAAGTGTGATGCTGAGGCACTGCCTTAAAAAAAAAAAAAAAAAAAAAAAAAAAAAAAAAAAA